AAAGAGAGAGAGAGACCACTAACCACCACAGTCATAATAACCAACAACAACAGCAAAAAAACGCACACAAAAAGCTTTAGTAATTATATTCAATAAAGAGCTCAGTACTGTTACAATAATCGTAAACAGTAAACAGAGAGGGAGGGTGGTGACGTCACGGGCCGCACAGCTGTGACAAAAACGGGGAAAATACCAAAGATAAACAAAAAAAAGCGCGGGAAAACGGCGGGGAAGCCAAGGGTGCCGACACTTAATGAGATTTCGGCCAAGTTTTGCTCCGGGGCGCGACACTCCCCATATTGTTCGTAAAGTAACCTTGTGAATAAAGATGAAGCCAGTGTTACCAAGAAACTTTTGGGGGGATTATTCTTCGTCTAAATTTGTCAAGGAGGAATATTACTTTTACCTTCTCTTAATAAGACTTTGGTTGATGGTGTGATTATATGGTAATAATTATGAAGATTTGTTTCAATACTTTTCATTATTTTTTGTTTGTGTTTAGAGAAAGTAATATTATGTATATGTATTCTGTGTATAGTGTAAGTAATAAATAAAATATATACATATACAGTACACATACTATATATATACACACACAATACCTGTATGGGATTATCCTGCGTTAATTCTGATAATCTGCTAATCACACACACACACCACTCCCACACACTCAACATTCCAACACACTCAAAACTTCCGCACACTCGCAGATACAAGCACGTCACAGATATAAGCAGGGAGCAGATACAAGCAGGTTGCAGATACAAGCAAGTCGCTGATACAAGCAGGTCGTAGATGCAAGCACGTCACAGATACAAACACGTCGTAGGTACAAGCAGGGAGCAGATACAAGCAGGTTGCAGATACAAGCAGGTCGCTGATACAAGCAGGTCCCAGATACAAGCACGTCACAGATACAAGTACGTCGTAGATACAAGCACGTCGCAGATACAGCACAACCAGGTTACAGATACAAGGAGATTGCAGATGTGGAGGGGGTGAGGAGAACACTCTAGGAGAAGTAGGTCAACCATAGTAAAATTAGGAGACTTTAAGACATGGTAGAGAGTGTCCTGATCCTTAAATCACTCTTCCAACTTCCTCAGATCACTCAGTATTTTGCTCAAGGTAAAGTAAGTAAGGTTGGATCTATGAGGGAGCCGGGCAAGAGATGTGTGTGTCACTTAATCGGTGGAGAATGATGAATGGAGACGTAGTGGTGTGTTTATACATACATACATACATACATACATACATACATACATACATGCATACATACACAGACTACTTAGTTCTATAAGACCAACAGGGAGTTAGAATGCTGCACTTTGCTACAGTCATAAACACACCGACCAGAACATTATTGATATTGCCTGATTGTCTGGGGGAGCCATTACTGTGTGTGTGTGTGTGTGTGTGTGTGTGTGTGTATGAGTATCCATTTAAGCCAAGAGAATTAGGAAAATGTCACTTCTATAAACTGCCAAGACCAACATAGTTATTGGGAGTCCTTCGTAATTTTTTGTCATCATCCTCTCTAAGACTCTTGCTAAACTCTCATAACCATTCGTTGTTTTCCTCTCTCCCATATCTAAATTACAACACTTAAGAACCAACAACCTGGAATTGTTAGTTGTAAAGGATATTATCTGCAACATCATCACAACCTTTGATTAACCTTTTCCATTTAAACACAACTTTTCGTTAACCCCACTCAATCTCTCTTTTCAACCTACAACTTATTCCCTCCCTCAAACCTCACCCCACACCCCACTCATCCCTCTCTTTCACTCCTACAACCTCACCCCCCACTCGTCCCTCTCTCGTTCTCTCTCTCCTACAACCTCACACCCCACTCGGCCCTCTCTCTCCTACAACCTCACATCCCACTCGGCTCTCTCTCTCCTACAACCTCACACCTCATTCGGCCCTCTCTCTCTCCCTTCCACAACCCTCACACCCCACTCGGCCCTCTCCCACAACCTCACATCCCACTCGGCCTGCTCTTCTATCTCTCCACATCCCCACACCCCCAATCAGCCCTCCCTCTTCCTCCTAGAACCTCACACCCCACCTGACTCTCCCCCTACCTCTCGTTCAACAGGAGGAAAACTAAAAAAAATGTGCGCGAGAGAGAAAGTGAAGCGTGAATCCCCAGGGTATAAGACCGGGCCATCATCACTAAACGACGCACTAAGTCTGGAGACATGATGGCAGCTCCACCCCTAATCGCGCTTACATGCTCGTTCGCCTCCCTCATATTCCTCCCAAATTTTCTCATAAAGCAGGCAACCAGTAAAATTTGGAGGGCATTTGCATTTAATGAAGGTTTGAATATTAAAGAGAACAGGGGTGTGTGTGTGTGTGTGTGTGTGTGTGTGTGTGTTTGTGTGTGTGTGTGTGTATGTGTGTGCTGTGTGTATGTTATGTGTTTGTGCAAGATGTATAAGATGTGCAAGATGTGTGTGTGTGTGTGTGTGTGTTTGTGTGCAAGATGTATAAGATGTGTGCAAGATGTGTGTGTGTGTGCAAGATTTGTATATGTGTGCATGTTGTGTGTGTACCTCGCTCAACTCCTCCCTCTCCCCACCACCCTCATGGCCAATCACTGACTCCTCCTCCCCCACTGCCTCACACACTCACCTCTCTCCCCACCACACCTCCTCCCCACTGGCCACACCACCCTCCTCTCCCCCACCACGCTCACTCCTCCTCTCCCCACTGCCCCCCACACACCCACCCTCCCTCTCCCCACCACGCCTCACCTCCTCCTCTCCCCACCACACTCACCCTCCTCTCCCCACCACGCTCACTCCCTCCTCTCCCCACCGGCTCCCCACCACCTCCCACCACACTCACTCCTCTCCCCACTGCCCTCACACCCACCTCCCCTCCCCCACCACACCACACCCTCCTCTCCCACTGCCTCACACTCACCTCCCCCACCACACCACCCTCCTCTCCCCACTGCCCTCACACTCCCTCCCCACCACGCTCACCTCCTCTCCCACCACACTCACCCTCCCTCTCCCACCACACTCACCCTCCTCCCCACGCCTCACACTCACCTCCTCTCCCACCGCCCCACACACTCACTCCTCCTCCCCACTGCCCTCACACTCACCTCCCCACTGCCTCACACTCACCCCTCCTCTCCCCACCACGCCCACTCCCCCTCCTCCCCACCGCCCCACACTCACTCCCTCCTCTGCACCACACTCACCTCTCCCACTGCCCTCACACACACTCACTCCTCCCTCTCCCCACTGCCCTCACACTCACTCCCTCCTCTCCCCACCACACTCACTCCCTCCTCTCCCCACCACGCTCACTCCCTCCTCTCCCCACCACGCTCACTCTTCAACACAAGTTATTACAGTCACTCTACTGAGTCTTCAACATTGTAACCTATTTGTCCTGTTTATGTTATATAAATACAAACGACGATAAAGGAGATTCATAATTCCTACACAAACAGACCAATTTTTTAAACACAAACAAATCCTATTTAGATCACCTGAAGAATATCCAACCCTGTTTATTTCACCTAAAGATTAGCCAAACGAACGCTAACATAATCTAGTAGGTCCCAATCCTCAGAGGTCCCAATCCAAATAGATCCCAATCATAAGGCCCCAATCCCAATACATTCCAATCTTAATAGGTCCCAATCCTAATAGGTCCCAATCCCAATAGGTCCCAATCCCAATAAATCTCAATTCTAATAGATCCTAATCTCAATAGGTCCCAATCTTAATAGGTCCCAATCTTAATAGGTCCTCATCATAATTGGCTCCAATCTTAATAGGTAAAAACTCATTCAGTAGCAGCTTACATATATAAACATTTACCAAGGATTAACGCAGTACATTGGTAATACTTATTTACAATGTGGTCCTCAAACACCAATGTGGTCCTCAAACACCAATGTGGTCCTCAAACACCAATGTGGTTCTCAAACACCAATGTGGTCCTCAAACACCAATGTGGTCCTCAAACACCAATGTGGTCCTCAAACACCAATGTGGTCCTCAAACACCAATGTGGTCCTCAATCACCAACGTGGTCCTCAAACACCAGTGTGGTCCTCAAACACCAATGTGGTCCTCAATCACCAACGTGGTCCTCAAACACCGATGTGGTCCTCAAACACCAATGTGGTCCTCAAACACCAATGTGGTCCTCAATCACCAACGTGGTCCTCAAACACCAATGTGGTCCTCAAACACCAATGTGGTCCTCAATCACCAACGTGGTCCTCAAACACCGATGTGGTCCTCAAACTCTAGAGTGACTCCACTCATAGCCAATCAATGTAACGGTACAAAACGAATGTAACTTTTCTGCAATTAATTATTCAGAGCTGCAAACTCACCTAATTTTCCGGACGATAACCTCTAATTGGAGGATGTCACCTGGTGAAAAAGTTACCTTACTCTTATGTGAACCAATGTGGGGAGTGTCTTGTACTATCACCTATGATAAGGAACTTTAAAATTAATATGTTAATATAAATAGACTCTGGATATAAACAACTGAAAACTGGTCTAAAGTTCACAAATGATTAAATAAACTTGATTTAAATGTTACTCTGTTTTAATCAAGCCCCGTACTGAGTACTACTGACTACTTCCATTACCGTAACTAACTCACTTAAACTATCAAATAACACGGAATAATATTAGGTTATAATCATCCACCACAACTTCAGTCAGCTGTGAAGGTCTCAGTAGCTCTGAATTACCTGAGGTGAACTATTAATTAATCTTCAATAGCTCAGTGCTGACAGATCACGTCACATACTACAGTACACCAATTTATTAGGATATTTATCGATTTAAGATAAATTATGCCAGAGTGGCATTAGTAGTTAAATAAGATGTAATATAAACAGATAACAACAAAATGTACTTTGAATTGCTCTGTTTATTTCGTTGTACAAAACTTGCGGCAACAAGATGGTATAATACAGTATGTCTATATGTGTGTGGTTACCCAGCATGCAGCGGTCAGCCATTCCAGGGTGTGAGTGGACGGATAGTCACGAAGGATCAACATTAATGACCGTAAATGACATGAACCAAACAAGCCTCAATGATCCTGGGGTAAGTCTGGTTTGTTTACGTCATCCGTTACACTGGACGTATACCGTGACCCAATGTTACCTTAGGCTAGGTGAGGTTAGGTCAGGTTAGGTCAGGTTAGGTTAAATTTGGTAAGTTAAGTTACGTTAAGCTAGGTTAGGTTAGGTCAGGTTAGGTTAAGTTTGGTAGGTTAAGTTATGTTAGATACAAAATGGTTTTACCTCACCACCCAGAGTGATATGTTAGTCTTAGTTTTGATGCTAACCGTAACTACAGTTCCCCCGACGGAATTTTTCGTTGAGGTGCCCGTGATCCCGGGTTTAGGAGTTCACCTGTGGTTTAGCGGCAGTCCCCTGTATGGTTTTCTCGACCGTAACATAAACTATTATGGTTTAAGATAAACCTAACCTAACCTAACCTAACCTAACCTAACCTAACCTGCCTTACCATAATCTAACCTGACACATCAAAACAAATCTAACTAAACCTTAACTATACCATTCTATAAATCTGATTATCTACAAAAGGCAAATGAAAAAAAAGTGTAACTATGGATTTTTACATAGAATGTTGTTACGAACCCCGCCACCAATTGTCATGATCTACCTACCCAGCACCACGAGCAACGCCATCTAGGGACGAAACACGAGTATGACTCGTCTTGGTTACCACTCCCGGGTTTCCCTTCTCCATATCCTGGTTGTTGCGTCACCTCCTCAAAGTCTTCTTTGTCAGCTCCAGTTCGAGGAGAGAGCACTTCACTCTGGGAAGTGACCACAGGATCACCTATCCTGGAAACCTACGGCACAGTGACTACCTACCGTCTTCTACAATACTCAGCCTTACTCGTCAGCCATCTCAGCTCCGTACTTAAGTATTTGTAATCTTATGTTGCCTCCCCCACGTCCACTTGCTTCAAAATTGTTTATGTTGTATAAATATGTATATACTGTTAATGTTTAGGTTAAGTTTGGTTAAGGGTAAATTATAGAACGCTGAATATTTTGTTAAGGGATTTATGGTACTTTATTATACACAACAAAAACTCGCATCCTTTGTCTCCCCTTTTATAGTCCGATTGTCTTTGTTTTTTTTTATTTGTTGCCTGTTGGGATCTGGGTAGACTTTTAACTATATTCTAAATCCCCAACTCGTAACAATGTTAAATGTTGCTGCATCAGAGACCTAAAGTATTGAAACAGCGACAGAAGACTACTCATGAGAAAAGCCTCTCAACTAACGCAAACTTCTCGTTGTTGACAGTGACCAAAATTCATCGTTGCTGTGATGGTCCCAGAGTGAAATATATCGGAGTGAAAGTGAAAGAGATACACCAATTACTTTCACAGTTTGTAAATAATGAATAAATTAAACTTAAAAATGAAGTTTATTGCTAAAAAAAATGCTGCAATAACGAGAGATCGGCCATCAGTTGAGATAATTATATTTACTAATGCAAATTGATGGACTTTTTTTAATCTCAAGTCAGGAGGGGGGAGGGAGGGAGGGAGGGAGGGAGGAAAGAAAGAGGGAGGGATGTACTGTAGGATGAGGGAGGGGTAGGAGGAAGGAGGGAGGTAAGTAGGAAGGCGGGAGGAAGGAAGAGAGGGATGTTGGAGGCGGCAGAGAGGAAAAGGGGGGAGAGGAGGAAGGGAGAGAGAGGAAGGTCTTTGGAATGGGGAAGGGGGTGTATGTTGTGAATAAATCTTATATAAATATTCGTTCAGATAACATCAATTGCACAGGTAATAGTTGCCACACAGGTCATCTTCAACACACACTCGGCTCTTATTTCCGCATTTTACTCATTTCTTACAGACGTTTCAGTTTATAATAAATGAATCTTATCACTATACTGTATGGCCATGACTGCGTTCGTGCGTGTTGCCTGGTCGTCCGTAGCTCAAGACTTAAGAGCAAGCCTGAATAATGAGATATATAGTACTTAAAAAAATAATCCTCACGGGGGAGAACTCTACCACTCAGTCATTCAGTTAGTCAAGCAGTCATGACAGGCAGACATTGAGCTAATTGATGCAGGAAAAAATATAAACTAATATTATTCGTTATATAAAAAATATAAATAAAATGTTGGCGAGTAAAAATATTATGAAAATATATTCTCTTCTTTATCGCGCGAAAATAATTTATGATTTACCCAAACAACAATAGGTGAGAAAAGGGGTTCCCCACTGTGTCCCCCGCCTACACTGTGTCTCCAGTCCCTCCAGTGGTGTCCTCCACCTGTGTCCCTCCACTGTGTCCTCCACCTGTGTCCCCCACTGTGGGTTCCACCTGTGTCCTCCCCCTGCTTCCTCCTGTTTCCTCCAATGTGTCCTCCACCTGTGTCCCCACTGTGTTCCACCTGTGTCACTGTGTTCCCCACCTGCCCTCCACCTGTGTCCTCCCTGTTTCCTCCACCTGTGTCCCCCACCTGTGTCCCCCACCCTGTGTCCCCCACCACCTCCACCTGTGTCCCCCACTGTGCTCTCCACCTGTGTCCTCCACCCGTCCTCCACCTGTGTCCTCCCCCACTCCAATGTGTCCTCCACCTGTGTCCCCCACTGTGTCCTCCACCCCCACTGTGTCTCCACCTGTCCTCCACCAGTATCCCTCCACCTGTGTCCTCCCTGTTTCCTCCCAATGTGTCCTCCACTCAGGTCCCCACTGTGTGTCCTCCACCCAGTCCCCCACTGTGTCTCTCCACCTGTGTCCTCCACCTGTATCCTCCACCTGTGTCCTCCTGTTTCCTCCAATGTGTCCTCCACCTGTGTCCCCATCAGTCCTCCACCCGTGTCCCCCACTGTCTCTCCACCTGTGTCCCCTCCACCTGTGTCCCCCACTGTGTCCTCCACCAAGTCCCCACTGTGTCCTCCACCTGTGTCCTCCACCTGTATCCTCCACCTGTGTCCTCCCCCTCCCAATGTGTCCTCCAATGTGTCCTCCACCTGTGTCCCCACTGTGTCCCTCCACCTGTGTCCCCACGTGTCCTCCACCTGTGTCCCTCCACCTGTGTCCCTCCACCTGTGCCTCCAATGTCCTCCACCTGTGTCCCCCACTGTGTCCTCCACCTGTGTCCCCCCTCCACCTGTGTCCTCCACCTGCGTCCCTCCACCTGTGTCCCTCCCTGTTTCCTCCAATGTGTCCCTCCACCCTCCTCCACCGTGTGTCCCCCACTGTGTCCTCCACCTGTGTCCCCACCTCTCCACCTCCCCTGCGTCCTCCACCTGTGTCCCCCACTGTGTTCTTCACCTGTGCCCTCCACATGTGTCCTCCACCTGTGCCCTCCACCTGTGCCCTCCACATGTGTCCTCCACCTGTGCCCTCCACATGTGTCCTCCACCTGTGCCCTCCACATGTGTCCTCCCCTGTGACCCCCACTGTGTCTTTCACCTGTGTCCTTCCCCCGTGTCCTCCACCGGTGTCCTCTACATGTGTCCTCCCCTAGGCCCTCACGGTGTGTCCTCCACCTGTGTTCTTGCCCCATGCCTCCTCTCCTTCCTCCCTGTACCCCCTTTGTCCCTCCTCTGTGAAATAAGCTTGGGTGGAGATTCTTCAGGTGATCCAACATAAATATTACCCGAAAAATAATATATTGCTCTAAAAACGGACTCTCAACTTATGTGTTTAATTAGTTGGATATCTCCCCCCCCCCGAAAAAACCGTGCACACGAACAGGAATATACAGGAACTCGACCAAATACAAGTGCTTCAGAAAAATGTATACACACTACTTTATGTATTTTAAAAGATGTTGCGTAAAATTTTGTAGAAAAACAAAAACAATGTCCTCACGTGAAGGGACCCTGGCAGACCTACATCTAAGAACAATGTTGATGTCATAATAAAAACAATAATGAAATCTCCACAGAAATATATAAAATAGTGTCTATACATTTTTCTGAGACACTCTGTATTCAAAAACAGGGCAGAAAGGCAAAATTAAAAGTGATGGTTACAACAACTTGTTACCGGCTGCTACACCTAAATTAATTTCGCTGTCGTTGTTGTTGGTAAATGCTGAACTCACATGACGACTGATTTTTTTTTAATGTTCATATGTAGGATTTTTTTTTTCATCGTGTAAAGATTAGCCAGCCTCCCCCCCCCACCCCCCCCCTCGCTTATTTCACTTGAAGGTTGAGCAATTTAACGCTAACATGACCAAACCAAATCTAATTTAACCCAACTTAATTTAACGCTAACCAAACCTAATCTATCTTATCCTAATTTAACATAACCTAATTTAACCTAACCTAATCTAACCCAAACCAAACCTAACCTTAGATCTAACCTAACTTAACCTAACCCCCAGGTAGCATTTGGGAATTTAATCATAAGCTGCAATAAGATGGGGTGCCTAATGTTCAGGTGATCGATTGACACTACATAAAAAATAACGTAATGAACCCTGATTGGTTGATGAAGAGAACTTAAATAAAACACTTTCCTCATAGGTGGATTAATAATGACGTGGCTCACTCGTATTGGCTGATGAAGAGAGCCTGATGAAATACAGCCGCTCTCATTGGTGGAAGTCGGTGAGAGGGAGATTGTGGGCGGCGATGGGGGATCTTCTCATGTGAAGTAATTACGTCAACGCTAAGGACTAGATATTAGGGAGTCGTAGCTCAGCGTCTCCCACTCGTTACCGACCCGGGTTACGAGTCCTGTCCGGATAATGAGTCTGGTGGTTTGCATTTCCTTCAGCTTTATCCGGCCATTACCTCGTTAAGGACCCGTCGCTTGCGGCAACTTAGCTCATTTCCTCTCAGCGCGGTTCTCCGAGGGGTTGCGGCAAGATGCGACGGCGGCTCTTCCCAGGTCTTCATTATCCGGATCACTATGGTTAACTTCCGGGTGTGTTCAGTGCTGGTATTATAATGATTGTGTTTCTTAATGATCTCATCTCCGGA